ATTGGCATCACTGCAACAAATTTAATAGGTAATAAAAAAAAATTAAAACAAATGACATTATTTATACTTTGATTTCCTTCAATAAAAAGGAAATTGAGTAAGACAGTGTAAAAGGTGTGTGGACGTGTATTAGTTATCTAGCGCCTTGGTATAAAGGAGAAAACTTACTGGCCCTCGTCACTATCAAAGTTGCCCATTCTTGAATTAGACTATGCAGTTGATTCCTTATAAGATATCTTATTATATACATCTACATAGCTGACGCCCCTGTGTCCTACTTGACATGAAATGGAAGTTAAGTTCATCTTTTCTATCCTATTGTGATGTATATCCGAGCAGAACGGCTTCTTGAACAAGGAAAAAATTTGTAAGGCAGGATTTAATTTGGTCCAGCAGGAATTGATTGGATCATTGTCATTTGCTATTGCTGCGATTTCATGTGAGTGACAGATTGCTGGAGGGGAGAGGTTATTGTCCTGCCCTTGCAACAGTGAACATGTCGTCAGAGAAGAGAAGAGGTGATGGTGCAAGGGGGAAGAGAGGTTATTTTGATTGAAGATTACAAGGGCATGTGAATTAAAAATAAATAAATAATGATGTGCACAAATATCATTTATAAGAAACAAAAAAATCCTATTAAAAAATAATTTCATGCTGACTAAGTTTTACTTTTTTGTCACAGTCATCGACTAATCCAGAGATGAATTACACATAGCGGTTGAGAATGACATGGTATCAGATGGCTTTTAAACAAGACAATGCACTACACTGCCAGACTGTTTGCGTCAGTTCAAGGTTTGTTTGGAAACTGGACAAAAGTCTAAAATCAAGAACATTCACCTTTTGCTTATTTCCCCATTTAAGTGATTTTATAGCATGTATTCTGTAGGTGAATGAGAGTACTCACTTCCATATTCTGAAGAGCTGTGATCCTCCTGCACCTCCAACAAAGAAGTTTACAGCAAAGAGATTCCAGTTCTTGGGTATAATAACCAAAGAATACCTGGACCAAATAAGTCCTGAAAAACAGAGAGTGAGGGAGATTGGGATCTTTGAATTGTTTAGTTTTATTTAAATTTTTTTTGGTTACTGTGTGATATATACCTGTGGCAGTCAACACAGCAGATTGGGAGGTACTGAGTTTATCTGCTGGACGTGTCATGTCTGCTAAGCCAGCTATGACCAGACCCTGTGAGAAATCAGAAATTAAACTATTTATATATAAATAAATAAATATCAATCAATCCAAAGAACATCTAGATACTGTGTGTTGTTAATCTTACCCATTTAAACATTGGTGCCCAGAAGAAAACAGTCTTTGGACCTAAACAAAAAGCAAATCAATACAGTTAAACTCATGTTTCACAGGTCAAATGTGTGTAATTGTGACAGGTATCGGGTGATTCAACTTACAAAACCTAAAGCACTAACACAGAAGAGAATTATTAGGTGATTAAAAAAAATACACTTTACACTAAATACTTGTTCTTGCAAGTACACTTTGTGGTTGTGTTTTGTATACATATTGTACCAAATATGTATATCTTCCCAAGGTTTTTTTTTTACAGCACTAAAGGACACAGACTTGAACCTGCGTCACTGTGACCTGATGGTTCTGTGTTGTGGGTATGTGCACCACACCATGCCGAAGCTCAGACTTAAATTAATTTTCAATAAGAAATACAATATACAATGGCTGATGGTATAAATGTTTAACCAATTATGGATTATTATCTGTAAACAGTCAATGTTTAAATATTCAATAAGACTAAATGCACTGATCAGCTTCGTGGAGTTTGAGCCATCAGTGATCAACATAATGCAACAGACTTGTTTTAGAACATCTAAAAAAACAATCAGCATGTTAAAAATCCATTTTAATATAATTTAATAAAAGATCAGTCATCCCTAGCGCTAAATATGACCCCCCTCCCTCTGCCAAAGCTGAGGTAAAAATCTGCATGCCAGCACTGTTCGTTTAATCTTTTTTTAGTTTCTTGTCAGTCAACCTCTGTCCTCTGCTTATCAACACACATGTAATTTGATCTCTATTTATTCTACCACCAATGACTAGAACTATAAACACACTGACTCCCTTAAGAAAACTCATTATTCAGTAACAGACAATATTACCGAGAATGATTTCTGTTTCTCAAGGGCACTTTCCACAAATACAGTACACTTTGGTGACCCATAACATTGTTTTTCTTTTTTCTTTTTGTAGTATCTCTCTCATTACATGTACAATTAAAATTTTACACGAACAATGGATTATTGTTTCAAAAATCCATCCAAAATCATAAATAATACTAACACTTAGTAATACTAGTTGGAAAGTTACAATCACATAAATCAAGACTTTTAACAGCATTTAGTCATGCCCCAAAATTTGAAAACACATATAATTAGTTTAAACATATTTAGTTAAACACAAGTTTAGACATCGTTTCACTGACCAATTGTTTAAAATGAAAAGACAGTGTTATTTCTCACTTATGTATAAATACGTAAAAAAAAGAATTTTAAGCCCCATTTTGTACTCAAAATCATTGAAAGTGCCAAAAACACTCATAAAAGCAAGTATGGCAAGACCAGAACTGCAGACAACAATTCAGAATCAAAATAAATAAATTATAAATAAATACAAAATTATAATAATAATTGTAATACATTTCTACATATCATACAGTGGCTATAATTCATTACCATATAGATACGCCTCAAGCACCTTTTTAAAGGGGTCATATGATGCTTTTTAAAAGATCATTATTTTGTGTATTTGGTGTAACAGAATATGTTGACATGCTTTAATGTTAAAAAAACACATTCTTTTTCAAATACTGTACATTATTGTAGGTCCTCTATGCCCCGCCTCTCTTAAACGCTTCCTTTTCTACAAAGTCCCTCCTTCCGACAAGCGCAGTCTGCTCTGATTGGCCAGCTGACCCAGTGCGCCCCCCTCGCTCGCTCTCTCTCTCTCTCGCACACACACACACACACACGATGCGCAAAACTCCACATTTGAACAGTCAATAGCAAATACTTAAACTAATAACAAAACAGTAGCTGATTCAGAAGCGCCAGATTGTCATAGCAAAGTCAGAATTACCTCCTCTCCTAGGTTCACGAAAGAAAGGAAAACTTGAAATCGCATCATATGACCCCTTTAAAACATTTTCTATATCTTAAACCTAAATTCCATTCTAGGCTATGCATCTAAGTAGACTAATTCTGATCTGTTCGTGTACCAAGTTCATTATTACCTTTATTTTAAAGCATTGGAGTCACTGTTTTTGACCTTAAACAATGAGACAAAAACACCTGCTCAGGTAGCAGTCTCTATGACTGCACCGTCATATGCAACACTTCAGGGCATGCTGCCACCTCAAGGATCAGTATCAGTCACAAATAAGCTGTCACGCTTACAGCATTTGCGTTACCTGCAGGGTGGTTATAAACGGGTCTCAGTTTAGCCGGTAGCATATGCTCGATCCTGTCGAGGATTCTGTGGTAAGAAGCTCTCAGCCCCACTATAGCCATGATGACTGCTAAGCAAGCTAAATGCTAACACTGCACGCACGAAAATACCGCTTAGGACATGCAAAGCACTCTGCTGCTATTGTCCCGTGATGTTTCCAAAAGGCAAGAGACCGTAGTCAGGAAAACAAGACCTTTGGACACGCATAAAGTACAAAGTCTACGTTATTGTCCTACTTTCGACCTTGCTAATGCAGTTTACTCCTATGTTGTCATGTGAAGTGTCAGTCAATTGCGTCATGACGTAGTTGAGCCTCTAAGATGAAGGATTGGTTAATGTGGTCACGCCTCTGTGTGATTGGCTGGAAGGGGTTCGCACGCTGTTGAAAGGCGGGGCCTGGTCAGGTCGCATTGAGAAAATAAGCTGTTTTCGCGGTTATGTGTAGAGATTGTTATTGTGGAATGCTGGGCGTGAAAGTTAAAAGTTTCCATTAATTTCTTAAAAAAAAAAAAATCGTCATTCACAGGGTTCAGAACAAACATTTATCAATTGGCTGATTTGTTTAATACAATGCAGTGTGTTATTTAAATACACTGCATTGCGTTTATATTTGCAAGACGTGTTTTGTCTAAATTAGTTGTACACTTTATTCTTGTCAAATAGGTCTACATATTTTTCATATTTTAAAACTATATTTACAATTGAATTACATTTTTTTAAATGAGTGTTATTACTGTCGTCCAGACTGCTGCTGATATAGTGTTGTTCTTGTGTTTTTAAATCCCTAAAATATTTTAATTCCTTGTTTTTATTCCTGTATTTTTTAAAGAAAATAAATGGGACATGTTACTTTTCTCATCGCTTTTAAGTAGGGACCAATCACCAGTTTCCATTTTTGAAATAAAGACATTACCATGGGTAGTTTTATCCGCACGTCAGTTACCAAATCTTCTCAACTAATAGCTTTAAACTACTGTTACATATACTTGAAACAAAAAATAGTGTTGAGATTTGAATGCAATCAGGGATCCTCAGGGATCCTCGATTCGGCGTAACTTCTACGCACGTTTGACGCTCTCCAGACTCCAGAGCGACCCGCCCATTCCCTTCCATTGGCTTTGGGCTCGAGATGGATTTGACGTACCAGAGCAGCAGAGGCTAAAGCGGATAGCCAAACAAGAAACACAATATTTTACTACACCTCAAAGCAGCCATGCACAAAGTGTCGGAAACGGATCGCCGCGGTGTTGTCGATTTTGAGGAGTAATATTCTCTCATTCGTCCAGTGTCAGTTGTCGATGAACTTATAGCGACTATTAGGCGCTGTAAAAGGAAACAATAATAATCAAACGGCACGGAAGGAACACAAACACACAAGAAAATCGTCTGCTCTACCCTTTTCCATCCATGCATGTCTCAACATTAGAGGTTTAAACACCATGTCCTGCTCTGGCAACCTCATTTGGGATGTGCGAAAACGCACTATTGGATGCACAGATCCATATGCGGTCAGGACAAATTATTTAGGTAAGAAACTACGACCACTCACACCGTTGCACTTGAAAGTCATCTGGGAGACTTGTTTACGAAGACTTTCTAGGTGACAGCTGTCATTTGAGCTTGTACACAGGACAGGGACACTGGTTAAAGATCATCTGACCTGTTACTCTGATGCTGATCTGTTTTCAGAACGACGTGTTATCGGTGTTATTGGTTACATTTTGATTCAGAAAAAAAAATGAAATGTCCAGCTGATTTGTCTGGGAAGAGCTCTGTCTTCGATTGCATTGTGTTGATATTCAGATTTAAGAGGAGTTTTCTCCTTCCCTTTCTGCCTTGTGATGATTTCTGCTTATTTAAACTTATATTATTAAATAGGCAAATGATGCATATCTCATTAAATATGCACAATTGCATATTATATCAAAAGTGAAATAGACCCCACAGAAAATGCCACAAATGCTATTATTGTTTAATGCCATCAATTCTTCATGAGTCCTTTGTTTAAATATGTTCTAAAATATATAAGCAAACATGGCATATAAAAATGAACCATTTGTAAGATAAAATAAAGTGCCCAGAAAAATTATTTTTGAAAACCACTCTGACAATTAAGAACAATATAGTAGAAGAAGCAATATCTAAAAGTAAAAGTATCTACCTATCATGAGATATTAATAGGCTTGTGTTTTTACATTTTACAGTATGTATGCAAATTGGTGTATGCATTCATTGAATATCAGCACAAATCTTTACGGTAATGAAGGGAATCTTAGTGTGAACAGGTTGTTTAATCCTTCAAAACATGCAAAACACAATTTTATTTGTTGATATGGGACAATTGCTGTTGTGGTTTAATAACTTTAGACACAGGGTTTCTTTTTTACATGGGTGACCTTGATGCACCATCAAATTTCAAGGTTCTTGTACTGACAAACAGCACTAGCTCTTGATTTCTGACACAAAACATGTTGTGTTTCTGGAATGATTGTCAGTATTAAGTACAGATTCATATGGTTTGCGGAAATCTTTGATTTATTGCCGTAAAGGAAATGAAAATTAGCCACCTGGCTAAATCTGGCACATTTAACGTAGATTTTTATGTATTATTAATGTGTATTGTCCCTGATTAAATAAATAATTAAAAAAGAATTAAATATATCGTTTAGCTCATATTTATTTTTTGATAGAGACCCTTAGTATTACCATATTAGGATTGTAAAATGTTTCCAAAAAAGTTCATAGTTCACACACACACACACACACAAAATAAAATAAAATAAAATTCTGTCTTGGCGGACTTCAAAGCACACGTATGTAATAAAATCCACCTAGTCTGACCCAAATATGTATTTTAGACAATACAAGTTTAGCTCATTTCTTCTCTGTACCCTAAGAATTGGATGCTGGATTCTATGTGATTAATGGAGTGTGCCAGTATGTTCAGTCTTTGGTGTCTGTGAGCTGTTTTACTCTGGATCTCACATTCAGATAGTGATGACAGCATATCGTTCAGAGTGTTCCGTATTTAGCTCGGCTCTCATTCATGTTATAAAGCCTGCCAATGCTTACGGTTAGAAACAGAGCAGCCAAAACAACAACACAGAGTATCTCTGTTTTATGCATTTGTGAATGGATTGAGAGTGGAATTTAACCTACATTGCTTTTGCATGAATTTTAAATTTTGCTTTCTGTTGGCAGACCATTTTCTGTGAGGTTGTACCATCAATGCATAGAGCAGTGTCATCTCAGGCTACTGCTGTTCTCCAGGCTCACACCATTGAAAATGGTTGACCTAAGTTTGGCACTTGCTATTTGTAGCTCCTTATTACACAGGCTGAAAATACAGCCATGGAAAGATCTGTCTTTTACCAGCCACACACAGATATCCGCTTGTCAGGAACAGAAACGTAAATGTTATAGATGTTTCTTAATGCAAACAGTGTTGAATGTGAGTAGGTATAGTTGTTGTACAGCACCAATATTTGGGCCTAAACCACAGTGTTTGCATGTCAAATAAATCTGAGGTATTTTTATAAGAGATTAGACAAAAAAAACTAAAACAAGAACCAAATCAGGGTGGTTGACATTACTACAACAACGTACGACAGGATGTTTTCTGTCTTTGTACAGCAACTCAGCAAATGCTGGAGGTAATGTAATAGTCTTCTGGCGTTTCTCCAAAGCAATGAAGATTTCAGCAGTCATTAACAATCATTCCAGCCTCCTCACCCACATAATATAGTTTCATGGATGCTTCAGCTTAGATTTACACCATAAATGAGCTTTCAGGTTTAGATTATTGTGCCTGTTATTCATATAAACTTAAAGTAAACTGCCTCTGATTGTACTGTACAGCTAAGCTCAGCTTAAAGGAACACTCCACTATTTTTGAAAATAGGCTCATTTTCCAACTCCCCTAGAGTTAAACAGCTGAGTTTTACCGTTTTCGAATCCATTCAGCCGATCTCCGGGTCTGGCGGTAGCACTTTTAGCTGTAGCTTAGCATAGATCATTGAATCTGATTAGACCGTTAGCATCTCGCTCAAAAAAGACCAAAGAGTTTCTATATTTTTCCTATTTAAAACTGCAGCAGGCGCAATGATATTACGCAGCGCCTGAAAATAGGCTTATTGGAAGTTACCTAGCTGGGAGGTGGTCACGTTGGTTAAGGTCACGTTGGTTATGTTGACAGAAGTTAGCCTATTTTCAGGCGCTGCGAAATATCATTTTCTGTCGGACTTAGTACACGATGTAACTACAGAAGAGCCACGTTTTAAATAGGAAAAATATAGAAACTCTTTGGTGCTAACCAAAGATGCTAACGGTCTAATCGGATTCAATGATCTATGCTAAGCTACAGCTAAAAGTGCTACCGCCAGACCCGGAGATCGGCTGAATGGATTCGAAAACGGTAAAACTCAGCTGTTTAACTCTAGGGGAGTTGGAAAATGAGCCGTAAATGGCTGAATTAAATGTGTATTGAATGTGGGACAGGTCAAATATATGTCCTTGTTGTTATTCTCTTGTGTGAATTAACAGACAATACAAATGATCTTGTACATGAAAATTGCCACAATAAAATTAATTAATTTTTTTCCCCTCTATAGGCAGAAGAGAGTTCGTGCAACGACTGAAGCTCGAAGCCGTTCTCAGTGTGCACGATGGATGTGTAAGTCTTTAAAGTCTTTGTTTCACCTGTGATGATGTCTCTAGTTGTGTCTGATGCTCCTCCCCCAGCAGTCTTTTTTGTTGGCTAATTTTTTTCCTTGATAAATGTGCCCGTAGGAGAATGTGTCTGTCTGGGTTATTTTGTCTCAGGGGAATCACTGTGCTTGTATTTTGTGTGAGTGTTGTGTGTGCGTCTCTTTCTGCCCACTTATCAGTGGCTCCTGTTCTTTATCTGTCAGTGATTTAAACTCAAATGCTGATAGGCACCAGGCAGCCATTGGGGATGTCATTTTGTCAGTGCAGCTTTACTGTTGGGACATCCAACAAAGCCATGTACTCTAATTGCAAGCCTCGCAAATGACACACACTCCAATATAACAATTAACAGGCTTTAACAAACTCGCAAAACCATGGTTGGAGCAGGTTTCAATTTGTTTGTGTCAGTGAAAACGATTCTGTATTTTGCTACTGTCTGGAAACGTCCCTCATACTGAGTATGATAGTAACACAGAAACACAGCAGGAAAAGATGGCAGCACTTTAATATGTCTACCGAGGACTGTTCACAAACAGATACAACACATCACCTTTGTAAAGCTCCTGCTGGTAGATGCCATAAATATACTGGATGCAATGAGCATCTTTCTCAACTGACGGCCATTCAAAAATATCTGTATATTATGTGTCAGTGTATTATGTATTCTGATGAAATACACTAACGTTTAAAAAGTTTTGGGTCAGTAAGATTTTTATTTTTTTTGTTGAAAGAAATTAATTTGTTCAGTGCACTAAAATGCACTAAATGAATCAAAAGTGGCATTAAAGATTTGAGTAATGTTACAAAAAAAAATGTATTTCAAGCATACATATCTAGTTCTCTCCCTAAAAAGAACATTGCATTTGTGTCTTTACTGCTTTATAAAAGCTATCCCTATTTGTAGAAATTGCTAACAGATGCAGTTTATAAACAGTTTGTTTATTCCATTTGATCAGATGGCCTTCCTCTTTTACTCTTTCTGAACTGTGTCAGCTGATGTGTAAAACCAGGACAAATGTACAGAATACCTGCTGTGCATTTTTAACTACAAGAAGAGTCGGGTATCTTTTATCACCTGGCTTTGGGGTAACATTTCAGGTTCTGATCCAGTGTTGCCTCGTTTAAAGCAGACTCCCCGCATTCACTAATGACACAGTTCAGGCTGCTTTCAGCGCTTGTTATTTTAACATGCAGTGCATCTTAACACAATCTAATTCCATCTCGCCACTACACAAAGCAGAACCGCAGAGTGAAAAGCGGAAGAGCAGAATAAGGGATAAATGCTTAATCCCTCCCAGTGATGTTATTTTAGAAAGGAAGAGGTCAAAGGAAATGGACCCTGTGTGATGAGGTTTGAGCTGCTCTAGAAAGAGGAGGAAAAGCGTGAAATATTGATCGCTTGCTCTTAAAGGCACAGGCAGCACACACTACCTCAGTCCATTTCAGCTCTAAAATCTTAAAGCAGGATTTTAGGTGATGGTTAAAATAATAATGTTATCAGTGATGCTCAGTTAATGATGTCAACAAATAGAAATGACTTTCTTCTGTGGAACACGAATTCTTCAAAATATCTCCTTTTGTGTTCCAAAGAAGAACTTATATGGGTTTTTGCATCAATGATGACAGACTGTTCATTTCTGGTGCACTATTTCTTTAAAGAAATTGATGGAGATATGTTAAATTATGGCACAGTTTATGGAACAGAAGAAACAAGCTTTTCAATTTAAGAAATTGGTGTTTATATTAGCTGGTTTTCATGTTTCTTTAAAGGTTAACACCATATCCTGGAATGACACAGGAGAATACATCTTATCAGGTTCCGATGACACTAACTTGGTTATCACAAACGCTTACAACAGAAAGGTAAGTTAAAGACACAAATGCTACAAATAAAATATTGAATTATTTTGAATAGCTGGCATACAGTCAGTACCATATTGGTTATCTTACTATATTAGAATTTTTAATGATCCGTATTGGTCAATATTGGATGTGATTCGCTCTAATTTACATACTTGTATAGATTACCTTTGCTGTCGTCTAATACTCATTAAAAGTTAAACTATAAGAACTAAGTGATAATTTAATAACACTGTTAAATGTATTTTTTTTAGTAAGCTGTTATTTTTTTAATTATTGATTTAAATTTTATAGCATTTTATTTTTCATTTATTTAGATAAAATACCATTTAGATTAAGTTCTATAGAATATAGAATATATAACAGCCATTTATTAGTTATAGGTCATAACATGAAAATAACTCTCATCTCTCTCAATCAATATCTGCCAGAATTTTCTAGAAAAGAATCTAAAAAAGTGGATGCATTGAATTCTGATCTTTTTAAAATGTTAAAGCTTGATTAAAGGCACAATATGTATTTTTCGCTGCTAGAGGGCGCGTATTCAAAATAAAGAAATAGACAAAGGCGTAGTTTGATGACACCGTGACCGAGTGTGGAATCATGGGAGTTGTGGTCTTCATCCCCACAGCCGATGCAATCCGACGGGACTCGGGCAGAAATCATGTTCATGGATGAGCTAATGATTTGTTAAAGGGTGTATGACGTCATTGGCAGGTGACACAATGACACTATGGACACGTGTCATTGTGGTCCGTACACTATGGTCCGTGGCACACTATGGCACACTATGGTCCGTGTCACTAATTAAAATTGCTTATTTCTCTGGATTTAAACATTCTTCTAAACATTTGGGATAATGTAAGTACACAAGTCAGCAAAATATATAACACTGTTCTAGTGGTTTTTGGATATTTTAATAAAAAAATCTTACATATTGTGCCTTTAAACTAACCCTGTGCAGATCAGTGGCCTATTTGTTGATGTTTTGTTCAGTTATGTTAAAATTGCCATACTGTACTTTTGCCTTTAGGTAAAGACAACTATTCGTTCAGGACACCGGGCCAACATCTTCAGCGCAAAGTTCATGCCCCACACTAACGATCAACAGATTGTGTCCTGCTCAGGAGATGGCATCATTTTCTACACACACACAGAGAAGAGCCAAGAAATCAACAGGCAGTGCCAGTTCACCTGCCACTATGGCACTGCTTATGAGGTACAATGTTATTTAAAGAGCACAGTGAGAAGGAAATAAAAGACACAAGAGGGATTGGGAATGTATCTCTGTGTCAGCAATGTCTTTGTTTGCAGTTGACGTGTGGCGAGGTGGAGGTTGACGTCTCACATATTTCTCTCTTTCTGATTCTATCTACAGATAATGACAGTGCCAAATGACCCATATACCTTTTTGTCCTGTGGAGAAGATGGTACAGTGAGGTGGTTTGACATGCGGATGAAGACGAGCTGCACAAAAGAGGACTGTAAAGATGTAAGAAGAATTTGACTGTGTAGTAGATGCATACATCATCAAATACTGTATATCCAAAAGCTCAGCATGTTTCTTCCTGGTAGAGCTCTGGGGAGGAGCTGTACTGATCTGAGATCAGGCTCCCCTCCCACACCGTTAAGTCTCACCATTACAGCTGGTGAATAACACTGATGCAGAACCTGCACCTCAGATACGTTTTTATGAGGAAGCAGCCTCCAACCGTGATTTCTCTACCCACAGAGTGTGTGTGGTGAGGACGCTATTAGCATTAGGGCACGATTGCTTTCTGTTGCTATCAGAAGGCATTTTTTTGTGAGGCAAAGACTACAAGCACACTACTTGTAAGTGCTGTTTGGATCTCTGCTTGGGTTCTGTTAGTAGCAGGGCTTCAAACTACTGTATACAATACATGTGAAGCAGGATTTTGAACCAATTAGATTTTTTTTTTTTTTTTTGTGGGCGGAACTATTAAATAAAATATTAAAATATAAAATAAATGCAATTTGGTTTGATATTTTGTTGATTGAATGGCAAGGTTTTTAACCTTTATTTGTGAAGATGCTGCAAGTGGTCCTTGAGAACCTAGAAAAAATATTTATACTTATAACTTATACATTATGTAACATATAATTTATACTTATAATGGTATATATGGTAAATGCAGTAACATTTATACTTTTTTAAAAAAATTAATAGTTGCTAATTTCATTTAGTAAGGGTGCATTAAATTGATCAAAAGTTCCAGTAAAGACTATTTATAATATTACAAAAGATGTTTGAAATAAATGCTGTTCTCTTGACCCTGTTCTTTGCACACCCTGAAAAATGTTTCACAGTTTCCACAAAAATATTAAGCAGCACAACTGTTTTCAACAGTGATAATAATATCTTTTATATTTAGCATTTGGAATCATTTATGGATCTGTGTCTTTTCTGGTTTGATTACTGCAATGAGAGGTCTTAAACTCTCAGAACTCATTTGAGAAGAATAGCCCACATATTCAAGTTCCCCTTAAAAAATACTTCACATCCTCTGAATCTACAAAACATTTGTTCCTCCTTTAAACTAGAAAAAGCCCAACGTTTTAAATGCTTTCTTCAAATGATCTTAAAAAGGTTTCTCTGTTTCACTAGGTAACTACATGGGCAGGGGGACGATCGGCATGTGTGTACGTTTCGTCCCAGCGCACCTGTCCACCAAATCCTGCCGCGTCACCTCTCTGTGTTACAGTGAAGATGGACAAGAAGTGCTGGTCAGTTACTCCTCTGACTACATCTACCTGTTTGACCCCAAAGCTGACCAGGCCAGGGAGCTCAAGGGCCCTTCTGACGAGCGGCGAGAGGAGGTAAGCAGATATCAGGAGGATGTTCTTTGGCCATTTTTACACTAGAGCTTGGTGAGCAAATGATGAGAGCAGAGGCTGCATTGACTGAAAATTTTCTGATGTTTTAAAAACATCTCTGAATAATTCAAAATGCTTTACATCATTTAGGCCTAGATAAAAACAGATAAAAAGTAAAATAAAGTATCGTTTCCTTACTTCAGAAACATTCCCTTAGTATAGGAAGGTAATAGAGATTAAAAGTGAAGAAAAAGGGAGAAAAAGATTTTAAAGCACTCTTTGAAAATATAGACAGATGGAAAGATGTGTGTATTGAAATGAGAGACTTCAAGTGTAGACCAGTGGAATTATTCATGGGAAATTGTTAATTAAATCGGATGACCAGATCACAAGAATACAGTGTCTCTTGTCATTTTCACATTGTGAGAGCAGAACAAAATAGAGAAACCCAAGAATCTGCAACACAGCGCTTGACAAGACTCCAACAGCTCTTGCCATAGTTCTTGTGATATCAGTGCGTGCTACATTAAAAATACCCAGCATTTCAAAATGTAACCATATCATGGGTAGCTTGAGGTTTGATATAAATGCATTGATTTAAACTAACCTTTTAATTTTGCAAATCAAACGTTTTCATACCGAATTAAAGGAACTGTTCACCCAAAAATGAAAATTTGTCAAAAATTTACTCGCCATTCAAGATGTACATGAGTTTGTTTCTTCACTGGATCAAAAGATTTGGAGAAATTTAACATTATATCTCTTGCGCTCCAGTGGATTCTCTGCAGTGAATGGGTACCGTCAGATTGAGAGTCTAAACAGACTGATAAAAACATCATAATAATCCACATGTAATCCACACAAGTCCAGTCCATCAGTTAACATCTTGTGAGGCAAAAACCTGTGTTTGTAATAAACAAATCCATCTTTAAGGTGTTTAAACCGTTGCCAGTCCATAATCCTATAATAAAATGCCAGTCCATAATCCATAATAATGCTTCCCCTAGTGAAAAAGTTCATCCCCTGTTGTCCTCTCACATCAAAATCCACCAACATATTTGTTTAGGACTTTTTTTACTTGTAAATGGTGCATGATCTGTGCATATTTCTATTTTTGAACCAATTAGATTTTTTTTTTTTTTTTGTGGGCGGAACTATTAAATAAAATATTAAAATATAAAATAAATGCAATTTGGTTTGATATTTTGTTGATTGAATGGCAAGGTTTTTAACCTTTATTTGTGAAGATGCTGCAAGTGGTCCTTGAGAACCTAGAAAAAATATTTATACTTATAACTTATACATTATGTAACATATAATTTATACTTATAATGGTATATATGGTAAATGCAGTAACATTTATACTTTTTAAAAAAAATTAATAGTTGCTAATTTCATTTAGTAAGGATGCATTAAATTGATCAAAAGTTCCAGTAAAGATTATTTATAATGTTACAAAAGATGTTTGAAATAAATGCTGTTCTCTTGACCCTGTTCTTTGCACACCCTGAAAAATGTTTCACAGTTTCCACAAAAATATTAAGCAGCACAACTGTTTTCAACAGTGATAATAATACATTTTTCTTGAGCACCAAAAAAGAGCACCAGAAATCATATTACGTTTTCTGAAGAATAATGTAAATCAGAAGACTAGACTAATGGCTGCTGAAAATTCAGCTTTGCCATCATGGGAATAAATTACATTTTACAAAATATTAGAATCAAAAAATGTAAAATAATAGTAATACTTCTATTTAATATATTATATTCCTCTCAATCAATCATATATCTAAAAAAACAGAACTGTTCTTTCTATTTGACCTTTGTGTTTTTTGTGTTTGTGTTTATTTAAAGATTTCCTGATAACCTCTTTATGTTTGTTACTATCCACATATTTATTCCTCTCTCCCTCTCTATGTCATTGCCCACTTTCTCTCTTTCTATGCTCTCCCTTATCAGGACATTTTGATTAATTGCCGGAGAGCCGCTACCTCAATATCCATTTGCCCCCTGGTCCCCTACTATCTCGCTGTGGGCTGCTCAGATAGCTCAGTGAGGATCTATGACAGAAGAATGCTGGGAACAAGAGCTACGGGTGAGAAATAGTTCATGTTCAGCATTTCAGCCTTTTATTCTTTTATTCTCCATGTGATTTAATGATCTTTTATATTTAGCATTTGGAATCATTTATGGATCTGTGTCTTTTCTGGTTTGATTACTGCAATGAGAGGTCTTAAACTCTCAGAACTCATTTGAGAAGAATAGCCCACATATTCAAGTTCCCCTTAAAAAATACTTCACATCCTCTGAATCTACAAAACATTTGTTCCTCCTTTAAACTAGAAAAAGCCCAACGTTTTAAATGCTTTCTTCAAATGATCTTAAAAAGGTTTCTCTGTTTCACTAGGTAACTACATGGGCAGAGGGACGATCGGCATGTGTGTACGTTTCGTCCCAGCGCACCTGTCCACCAAATCCTGCCGCGTCACCTCTCTGTGTTACAGTGAAGATGGACAAGAAGTGCTGGTCAGTTACTCCTCTGACTACATCTACCTGTTTGACCCCAAAGCTGACCAGGCCAGGGAGCTCAAGGGCCCTTCTGACGAGCGGCGAGAGGAGGTAAGCAGATATCAGGAGGATGTTCTTTGGCCATTTTTACACTAGAGCTTGGTGAGCAAATGATGAGAGCAGAGGCTGCATTGACTGAAAATTTTCTGATGTTTTAAAAACATCTCTGAATAATTCAAAATGCTTTACATCATTTAGGCCTAGATAAAAACAGATAAAAAGTAAAATAAAGTATCGTTTCCTTACTTCAGAAACATTCCCTTAGTATAGGAAGGTAATAGAGATTAAAAGTGAAGAAAAAGGGAGAAAAAGATTTTAAAGCACTCTTTGAAAATATAGACAGATGGAAAGATGTGTGTATTGAAATGAGAGACTTCAAGTGTAGACCAGTGGAATTATTCATGGGAAATTGTTAATTAAATCGGATGACCAGATCACAAGAATACAGTGTCTCTTGTCATTTTCACATTGTGAGAGCAGAACAAAATAGAGAAACCCAAGAATCTGCAACACAGCGCTTGACAAGACTCCAACAGCTCTTGCCATAGTTCTTGTGATATCAGTGCGTGCTACATTAAAAATACCCAGCATTTCAAAATGTAACCATATCATGGGTAGCTTGAGGTTTGATATAAATGCATTGATTTAAACTAACCTTTTAATTTTGCAAATCAAACGTTTTCATACCGAATTAAAGGAACTGTTCACCCAAAAATGAAAATTTGTCAAAAATTTACTCGCCATTCAAGATGTACATGAGTTTGTTTCTTCACTGGATCAAAAGATTTGGAGAAATTTAACATTATATCTCTTGCGCTCCAGTGGATTCTCTGCAGTGAATGGGTACCGTCAGATTGAGAGTCTAAACAGACTGATAAAAACATCATAATAATCCACATGTAATCCACACAAGTCCAGTCCATCAGTTAACATCTTGTGAGGCAAAAACCTGTGTTTGTAATAAACAAATCCATCTTTAAGGTGTTTAAACCGTTGCCAGTCCATAATCCTATAATAAAATGCCAGTCCATAATCCATAATAATGCTTCCCCTAGTGAAAAAGTTCATCCCCTGTTGTCCTCTCACATCAAAATCCACCAACATATTTGTTTAGGACTGTTTTTACTTGTAAATGGTGCATGATCTGTGCATATTTCTAT